ATTTTCTCATACTCCTCCTCAACCACTGCGACTTTTGAAGCTCATTAATTTATCAAGAAAAATACAAAATAAAGAGATTTGAAGCCTTGAAGCTCATTATAAAACACATTGTTGTAGATGCACTCCATATCTCTCCATTTGCTCAATTGTAATTTTCGAGGAGATATATAAAACATCCATTTGCTTGCATTTTCTGAATAGTTAGCTCGCGTAAGAGCAAGCCATTTAAGTGCATGCACTTACCCGATATGTAAATAAGCAAAAGAAGAATTTAAAGTCAATGTAATGCACTTTAAATTTGCCTCCGTTCTAATTGTACTACTAAAGCAAGATAAATTCATCGTGGATCTTCTAGAGTTGAAAAAAATATTATGCTTTTTCAAGGTAAGATACCAATTTTAGGTGCACTATTATGGAAATCTTTTCAGGGAACATCCAATAAAAAGAGTACTATCATGGAGCAATAACTGAAGCTAGGACACCTGGATATACGATTCAAACTAACTTAACTTTTCATTAAGGAAATGATAGTTTTTACAGTACATACACAAAACGGAGAAGCTAGAAGAAAGCTAACTACCATGAGACTGGATGTTAGCTTCAACAACTTATTACATATAGAAGATGCATAATTATATTGATTATGCATCTTTACTTGATCTCCTAGCTACCATGAGACTGGATGCACGCCTGCATAAGATTAAGACGCAATTTCTACAAACTAAAAAGTAAATGCTGCATTTCGGAAAACCTACTGACCTTAGGCTATTTCAGCCTTGAACAACACAAACAACATGAGGAACCTTTTCATTGTCAAAAGGCAAGTACACATACTCACTAGCGAACTCCTTCGCGATATCCAACGCTAGCTCCCCGTGCAACGCCTTGCAATACATATACAACACCACGCTCGCAGCAAGACTCTGAAGCATTAGCAGAGTTGCAAAACCCGAGCTCACCACCATCTGCAGTATCAACCCGAAGCTCGTCCACCCTCCGCTTGCAGCCCCTACAGTCACCAAAAAACTAGAACACCCACCCACTAATAATCCAATCAGAACCCCGAAAAACAACAACACTGATAGCGTGACCCGTCTCATTCCCTTCACCAAATACGCGCTTCTCCTTAACGGTTCGTAACCCCATTTCGATTCCACCACTACAATCACATAAGCTAATGACCAGTTAACCTGCAACCATACAAAAACCAATAGAAGCGCTATTCCTAAGAAAATAGCCAAACCCGTCAAGTAATTCGAGTCATAATTCACTTCAAACCCCAGAAATTGCATGCACCGGACCACGATCGCCCCGAATAGGGCGAATAATAGAACGATGAGAGCGTGGATTACACGCGAAACGATAAGGGTTGCAACTAAGGGCAAGAAGGAGTAAAGAACGGACTTGATAGAGGAAACAAGCTTGACGGGTCTACCGTAAAATCCATGGAACGTGCTGTAGGTGATCGTAGCAACAGCAAAGAGTGCCAGCAGAACAGCGAAGAGGATGTAAGCAAGGAGAACAACGAGGAGGAGCTGGGTGTCGGGTCGGGTTAGTTCCCGGGTCGGACCAAACGGATTAGGGAGGGTTAAGAAGGAGGAGGAGAGGTGAGCTTGCGGGTGGAAGATGATGGAATTGGACTGAGAGAGGGCGGTTTGGAGGGTAGGGTAGATGATGAGGGAGAAAGAGAGAGGTAAGAGGAAGGAAACGGAAAGGGCCAAGAAATGGCGGGAGTGAGCATTGATTATGCGCTTTGATTGGGAGACTACTCCCCACAGGTTAAGGGTATGTGAATAAGCGGACATTGAATAACAATGGTGATGATAACGGAGAGATGAATCCAGATGGAGGACAAGAGATTGTTTTGGGATGGTTTATAAATTGGGAGAGATGCAATTTGGGTTTTTTTTTCCGCTTTCTCTTTAGCTTTGCAGATAATTATTAGGGAGAGAAGAGGGAGACACGTGGAAATCTTAATACATAGATTTGATTGGAATTTTAAAAAAAATTAAAAAAAGATTATTTTTAAAATTGTGTTGAAAAATAATTTTTGAAATGAAATTGTATTTAGACAAAAAAAAATTCATCCATCAAATTTGAAAAATAAATAATATTTTCAATTTTTTTTAGCAAAAAGTAAAAATATTTATATAAAAAAGGGAGCTTAGTTTCAAGATTTCCTGAAATTGGCTGGAAAAGTAGTTTGGTCTAACCCCATGATTCAACCAAGAAGATTTCAAACTACATTTTTGGACATTCTGTCGACTTTCACCAACATTCTGATTTTTCTTTGTGGAAATTTCAGTAGACACCCCTGTACTTTGACGCAAATGCATACATATCATAACCTTTGGCAAAATTTGGGGGTTCAAAATCGAACCGAAAATCGAACCGCAAAAGTGGCTTAATGACTTATTGATATCGGGTTATCGGTTTAACGGATGATGAGCAGATTGAAATTTTATTATTAACGGCTTATCGGTTTGGGAGCGGATTATTCAATTTTTTCATCGGATAAACTGTTAACCCGTTAAGAATATATATTTATTTATTTATTTTATCCATATGTATATTAAATATCCCTTCCATAGTTTCACTTATCCACCGTTGAAGAATTTCCATTTTTTTCTATTGCTCAAACCTATAACATGCCAACAATCTCCTTCTTTGCATGTTATAAATATATAGGTAAATGTGATTCTAATGCCACCGGATGGACTAGATTGTTGGCCAAAAGAAGATAGTAACAAGCAATCGCTTGTGTTTTACGACCATTCAAGGTAACAGTGTGGGAATACATGCAAAGTAAATTGACTTTTTGCTGGTATTTACTAGTAATAGTGTAACTTGAAGGACCGAAATAGGCATCTGTAATACATATTTAACTAGGTCGATAAACTGCATGATAACCGTCCAATAATAGCTAAACCGATACCAATCCGCCCGATATCTTATTGGGTGGCTAGCGGATTAATACATTTAAAAGTCGATAACCGATAAGCCGAACCGTTAAGATTAAATAACCGTCCGATACGCCTGATCCGCCTTATAAGTAGCCCTAGGCAAAATACATGAGTTTCCCTTTAAACTTGTCCGGATATTTCGGTTGAACATTAAAATTTTATGGGCGTTCATGTACCACTTTATTCTTATTCAGCGTAAAATTAATATTCCCTTATGTACAAATAACTTATGTGTTGAAAATACCAAAAAAGTTATTACTAGTGATTAGTACTCCATCTTGTTAAGTAATTTATGATCAATTGCTGTAAGAGTTTTAAAAGATAAGTGCATGCTTTTTTTAATTTAAAAACATTCTTTTTTTAATCAAAGGTGTGCATAGAAAGTTTCAACAAATATGCCTATTCTTTTTCTTACATTATATAAAATTAAATATATGGGAATTTGCTACTTGTAGTTTTAATTTATTGTGTAGTTATATTAATTAATGTACATAGAGACATGGCTCGTGTTTTACAAATCTAAACACATTACACCCTTGTAAACTAAAATATGATTCAAACTAATATCAATGTAGAAATTTTCATAAGGTAAGGGTATGCATATTTGAATCTAAAATACATGAAGTCAATCTACAACTGAAATACGTATATTACATTAATGTTTATTATAATACACCTTTTTTTTATATATCATTATGATCTAAGGATTGGTGTGCCCAAAGAATCCAAAACTCGTACCAAATAAAAAAGTCAATTCGAACTGATTTGATAAGTGATGTGTTCTTTGTACATTTGGTTTCCAAAATTATGGAAAATCAATATTATTTGGTTTAATTTGAAATTAAAATAAAAGGTTCAGTCCAACGGACAATGTACAGTACTAGTTTGTAATTTTTCCAATTTTAATATGTATGTGCATATATATCTTTCCTAAGATTTATATGTACTCTGAATTTTACAGAATATCAAAATGAAATTGATTCTTGACTCAATCTTTTCGATAAATATTGGCTCGAATCTCTTGATTTTTATTCCATTTTTATAAGAAAGACTCATTTTATTATGGTATAAACATGTACCGATGCTTTATTATACTGCTTTATATCATTAGTATTCTTTTCCCCTCTTTCTCTCATCCATCCATTTAGCCACACAAGATTTGATTGAAGAACAAATATTTCGAAGTTAAAGTAGAAAAAATAATCGAGCCTTTTTGAAGTTATCAAGTTATTGTTAGTGTCTTGTCCATAGCCTTGAAATGTAGAACATCTGTTGTTTTTCCTTTTTCTCTTTTAGCCCCTCAAGTAAAAATAACACAAATAGTATGGGTAAATTTCACAAATGGTCATATAACTATGATATTTTTTCATCAAAATTATATAACTTTGTTTTCTCACACCAAAATCATATAACTATGATNTAAAAGTGAATTCTTCCCCCATAAGAAACTTAGTTCGGAATGCATGAGATTCTGACAAAAAAAAAAGGAGATAAAAGTTATAATTAGAGAGCACTTGAAATAAAAATACTATCGATTTGAATAAAAATCTTGAAAAAAAAAATAAAAAAATAGAAGTATCATGTTTTGAAGGATCTACTATTCACTTATAATATTATTTTAATTTTTATATATGAGTATAGGGTCGGGTGGGCCAGGTCGGTTGGCTCATCCCTATGTTAATTGGATTATTATTTATTTGACTCAAAATAAGAAAATAAAGAATCACAAAATAAGAAAATACTACTAAAATATTATTTTCCAATCACTATAATTTTTGTGTGAGTTAGTAAAAGTTTTATGATTTTTGTGTGAGACAACATAGTTATATGACTTTTTTAGTTAAAATCAAAACAAATTAATTATGGTCGAGTTTTTTTTTTCCAACACCAAACTAAATCAAACCAAACCATAGTCGGGTTTTTTTTTCTCAATTTGAATCGAATTATCGGTGCAGTTTATTAGTTTTATTTGTACACCTCTAGTTATAAGACATTGAAAGCAAGTTTCCCAGCGCATTTAGATATTTCTCAGCAAAATATCACTACCCCCAATACAACCAATATCCAAAGTTAGATTTTTATGAGACAAATGAAGACAGAAAAGACCCACTACTATAGTAAAGCTAGCTAACTTTCACAAACTCATTAGTTATTCAATTTTACACAAATAAAAATTATGGCAGATGAGGATGTTTCAGAAAGCTTCAGTGAGTGGCAGCAAATCCAATCTCCATCTTCTACTACTGGCAGCAAAGATCAGTTAAACAAAAATAATGATGTAGTTGTAACCAGAGAAGACTTACCAATTAACAATGATCCTCAACTGTTTCAAGAACCCCATTACTCAGCAGTTTCTGCTGCAGAAACTACTCTGCCATTGCCCGATAGAGATGATAATAATGAGAAAGGTGAAGGACATAGGTGGTTGAAGAAGCATTTGAGAGAATTAACTTCTTGGATTGTTCAGGTTGTTTGCAAGGCCAAAAATTATGCTGCTTGTAAAGTTGGAATTGGAACTTTCACTTCCACTAGAACTAGACTATTAGCAGTACTTTCGGTTTCCTTGTTTTATTGGATGATACAGAGGTGGCGGAGGCAAAGACAGATTGATACTTCTAAGAAACTTGTGCTTCTTATCAAAGAAAAAGACCAGGTATATATATAGTCAATGTATAGAAGTTAAATTCCACACACAATTCTTGATCTGTGTTCTTACCCTTCCCGAGTTATAAGATTACCCCTGGATTGGTTAAATTATCTGTCCTAGAAGTTAATTTATACTTGTGATATATATACTTGCTATACTTTTGAGTCATCAGCTAATTGTAGGCGTAGCTACTAACTTCATTCTTGCAGAAAATCGACCAGCTCTCTCTCCAAATTAGCCAGATGAATGACTCCCTACTAGCGCGACGAAAGGTTCCAGTTCTTCAAGTTGGCTAATTGATTCACTGGCCATTAATTGTTTCTTGGCAACTTCTGAGGGTATATATGGAGCTTTTTCGTCCGTCAATGTTGAATTTTAAATCTACAAATCAAAAGTACTCAGAGGCGTTGCTTTCAGGAGTAATCGAACCCGATCTTTTCCAGCGAACCCACAACACTTACCGTTGAACCAAGACCCCTTTTGTTACTGGGTTCGGCAGTATATATTTATATAGATTTAGTAAATATTTCAATACAAATACAGGGTTCCGGAAAAAGTTACTGAGTTCATCCGAACCCGCACCCACTACTGTAGCTCCGCCCCTGAAAATACTCCTATAGTGTGTTTAAAGAAACCAGGATACGTGTACGAAAAGACAGATATTTATCAGTATTTGATATGGTATATGTGCTCTATAGAGTGTTTTTCAGAGTAAGGCTTGCTTTCTTTTTAGTTTCTCTTTACTGGTGTTTTAAAGAAGTAATACCTGATTAAGATAAGAGAAGTTAAAATACCACTAACTTTAATTCAAAAAGAAGAATAAGAAGGCTCAACAAGTTGGATATTATGTAGTGCAGAATGCCTAATGTCAAACTTAGCTATAATCTACAAAGGTTTTTTGGCTTACTTTTTTTTTTGGTTTCCCGATGATCCGATATTTATATTAAGGCTCCAATTAATTCGGAGCCGCGATGGATAAAGTCCATTAACGAGGAAAGCATTTCCTATCGCGAATTTTTTTTTCATTTCCAAGACTTAAAAACCCCAAGCTTCTTATAGTTAGAGAGATAATCCTATCCCTCCACTACAATTTTCAATGATGAGTTTAGGATTTTGAATAACCTCTATGCCTAGGTCCATGCAACTTTAGCACTTGATTATTTGCATATCTTAAGGCCCTCTTAATGCTTCAAAAATACTTTGATGGATATAAAAATTTATTTAATTTCATAGGTAAAAAAATAAGATTTTAAAACAAACAATATAAATAATTATATCCTATTCTCATATTCTTTTTAACAAATCTTGCAGGAAGAAGAATATATGAAAAAGAGAAAAGAAAATAAAGCTAGAAGTCGAATGAAAAGAAATAATGTCATTTTGCCTAATATCCTATTGGTAAAAGTATGTTGAAAGATTTTCATCCATAGAGTAGAGAAGATGTCTAACTTATCGAATGACACGTGGGAAATGAAAGAAAGAAGTTATCTTGGCCAAAGTAATCTCATCGATGCCAAAGTAATCTCAATTTGACCAAAGTAGGAAGTAACCAAGTGCCATATTTTCCTATAAATAGCAAGTTCACTTTGTAAAATAAACATCCAATCTTTTGCAAGATACTTGTCCGTTCTTCTACAAAAGAGTAAGCGAGTTAGGATCCTGAAACTGAAAGTTCTTTTCGATTGCATAAGAAAGGACAAACATCAACTTCCCAAAGCATATCATATGAAGAAATGGAGAACCAAGAATTAGAAGACAACAACCCAAAAGAAATTCCACCACCAGTCTATATAGATGAGTAGTTTGATAAAGTGGCGTCAAGACCGGCAAACATAAACCTTAGACCAAACCTGATCGCTTCAACTGTGAATCTAGTGTTAGAAAACCCTCACTAGAAGCCAACAACTTTAAAATATCAGGAGCGACCTTGTCACGACCCGAAATTTCAACCATGGGCCGTGACGGCGCCTAACATCTACTTGTTAGGAAAGCCAATGTTAGTTAACTAATTAACCAATTTAAGTATAGTTTGAACGAAATACAACCGTTTGAAACAAAAATAAACAGTAAAGGCAAAATAGAAGGGGACTTCAGGGATTGCGAACTTCGAAAAACTCTACCTCAAGTCTCCTATAGTAGTTGGATCCGAGTAGTCTCCTCTACGCGCCACTAGGACCAATACCGGGATCTCCACAAGAAGTGCAGAAGTGTAGTATGAGTATAACCGACCCCATGTACTCTATAAGTATCGATCCTAACCTCAATGAAGTAGTGACAAGACTATGACAAGACACTCACTATAAACCTGTACGAATAACAATAAAGGAAGGCAGAAATATAGATAAAACAGTAAACTCATAAGAACGGACCCGAATGTCAACTAACAGAGGGCTCCAGAATAACATCGCCTAGTAATACTCATATCACAATACCGGAACAGAACATTATAGTTACAACACTACAACACATCATACTCCGTTGCGTCGTGCAACCCGATCCTAACATTTATCATAATATCTGTTGCGGCGTGCAACCCGATCCCAATATCATTTCATAATATCTATTGCGGAGTGCAATCCGATCTCAATATCAATTCATTTCAATACTGTTGCGGCGCGCAACCCATTCCCAATATCAACTCATTAACATAAACAACTCAGCATAACCAATAACGAAATCTCAACATAACAAGAAATAAAGCGCATAGAACATTAAGAAACTACCAGTACCAAACAGAACATAACCAGTGCCTCGTATCCACAAACCTCGGCAAATTACCAATACAAGAATAGCTGAAGGATTCCCACAATCGGACAAAACATAATAAATTTCACAATAAAGTAAAGACGATTAAGGCAAGTAAATATATGAACCAAGGATGATATACAATTAATACAGGTAGGAACATATAGTAGGTAAGCATGTATTTATTAAAAAATGAATAAACTGAAATATGTAACAACAAATTGACAAATAACAAGTAAGGCACAGATAACAAGTAGAGACATGTAGCAAAGCAAAGCATGTGACAATGTATAACATAGAATAAGTCAAGACATAAAGATAAATAGCCACAACCCGCATGCTTGAACCCATGATGACGCATATGCACTCGTCACCTCGCATATACGTCGTCCCCACACTTTGTGCATATAGCAAATAGACCAAACAAGTCCTAATTCTCTCAAGTCAAAGTTAAACACGACACTTACCTCTTTCCGCAACCAAATCAATACTCAACCACGACTTTTCCTTTAGAACATGCCTTTAAACCAACCGAATCTAGCCAAATATCATTCAAACAATTCAAAATAAGCTTTAGAAACTACCCACGAATGAAAAAGGTTCAATCTTTAGCTAAATTGAAAAAGTCAACCCCGAGCCCGCTTGGTCAAAATCCTAGATCCAGACCAAAATCTGATTACCCATTCAATTCCGAGTCCGGTTATGTGATTTGTTTCGGAATCCGACCTCAATCTATCTAAATCTTAATTTTACAAATTTTTTAAATTCTACTAAAACCCCCTAATTTTTACCATGAAATTCCTAGATTTGATATTAAACGTTTATGAAAAGTAATGGGAATTGACTGAACACTAGTTAAGGTTACTTACCAATGATTTTGGGAAGAAAAGCTCTGAAGAAAATCACTTTTAGAGTGTTTAGGGTTGAATAATAGTGTAAAATGAGCTAAGTCCCGATTTTTTTTCTCTTTTACCCAGACGCATGTATCACAATTGCGAACTCTTGTTCATAATTGTGAGGACTACAATTGCGAAACAATGATCTCAAAAGCGACCAGTGCATCAGTAATGCAGAAGTCTCAAATGCGACAAACCCTTTGCATTTGCGAATGACACCCCCCTCGCAAATGTGACGACCCAATAGGTCATTTTGAGAATTAGCCTTTATTTCTTTATTCCGAGACCTCCATTAGCTTCATTTAATACTTTTTGATTTGCGTTCGTGGTTCGTGTCATTTTCGAAAAGTTTTTACGTAAAAAATTGAAGAAAATACGATTTTTGGTTTTAAAAATAACTAGAGTTGACTACGGACAATATTTTGGGTAAATAATCCCGGATCGGTGTTTTGACTATTCCGGTAGGTTCGTATTATAATTTTTAACTTGGGCATATGCTCGGAATTGAATTCGAAGGTCCCTAGGTTGATTTGACTTATTTTGCCTAAAGTTATCGGGTTTGGATTTTGGTTTTGGGACATGGAATATGTCTGTTTTACTATTTGAAACTTATCTACAAAATTTGGTGCAATTCCGAGTTGGTTTGATAGGAATCGGACGCTTGGTTGTATTTCTAGCTACTTTTGGTTTTTTTTTTTGAATTTCATGTGTTTTGATGTCTGATTCGTGGTTCTCGAGATTATTTTGGTATTTTGATCGCATGAGAAAGTTTATATGATATTACATTTGTGTGCATATTTGGTTTGGAACCTGAGGAGCTCAGGTGAGTTTCAGATGAGTTTGGATAGTTTGAGGACTGCTGGTGCAGTGCTTGTTTCTAGTGTCTGTTACAGATCTCACAATTGCGAGGCCAGGCTCGAATTTGCGAACAATAGTTCACACTTGTGAGAAGGGGCCTGGACTGGGTGACCTCGAATTTGAGAGGAAATGGTTTGCTTTTGCGAACTGTCTAAGGCCGCTTTTGCAAACATTTTGGTCGCATTTGCGACCATTGGCTATCTGGGACAACTTTGCAAATACGAAGGATGTATCCGCATTTGCGAAGGGGGTTTGTTCGCAATTGCGAACAAAATGCCGCATTTGCGACTTCTGGGCTTCTGACGTGTTGATCGCATTTGCGATCCGTGCTTCGCAATTGCAGAGTTTGAAATTGCGACACCTACAACTAGGTAAAAGAGAGAAACAATGGGACTTAGCTCATTTTACACCATTTCTCAACCCTAAATACTCTAAAGGCAATTTTTCAAGAATCTCTTCTTCCCAAAATCATTGGTAAGCAACTCTAATCGACTTTCTTTCAATTTCCTATTACTTTTCATGTGTTTTAACATCAAATCTAGGATTTCCATGGTAAGAATTAGGGATTTGGTAAGATTTGAAAATTTTGTAAAATTGAGATTTAGACCTCAAATTAAGGTCGGATTTCGAAACAAATCACATAACCGGGCTGAGGGATGAATGGGTAATCAGATTTTGGTCCAAATCTCGGATTTTGATCATGCGGGCCCGGGGTTGATTTTTTCAAATTCATCAAAGATTGAACCTTCATCATTCGTGGGTAGTTTTTAAAGCTTATTTTGAATTTTTTGATCGATAATTTGATAGATTCGGTTGGTTTGGAGGCTTGTTCGAAAGGCAAGTCTGTGGTTGGTTGATTGATTGGTTGTAGAGTGAGGTAAGTATTGTGTCTAACCTTGACTTGATGAAATTAAGACTTGTTGGTCTATTTGTAATGTGAATTATGTGGGAAAACGGCGTATATGCGAGGTGACGAGTATTGTACTCCATTTCTAATGGCCTGATCACGACCTCAAATTGTGTCTAACCGCAACGAATTTGATGTGTTATAGTTGTTTATAGATGTAGAGTTTATTTTTGATATTATGGTACGAGATTTGTGATTATGTTATTCTGAGGTCCTTTGGTTGTTGACCTTCGAGTTCGTTTATACGAGTTTACTACTTCATTTCTATTCCTATTTTATATTATTATTATTTCATACAGGTTATTTGTG